TTAAAGAAGATACTTTTAGTTACCCAGTCACTGGGAAATGAATAATGATCTACTGAGGAGTTTTAGTGCTTTGTCCTTAATTCTGTCCAGCTCATAAATTCAACACACAGTTTCCTATCTTTATTGTCTACCATTGCTCTAGTAAAGTACTAAATCCAGGTGGCTTAAAACAATACAAATTTATTACACTGCAATTTTGGAGGTCCAATGTTTAATATGGGTCCCACAAGTATAAAGCCCCTGTCAGCGGGGCTAATTCTTTCTGGTTTTGGTTTGCTAATGTAGACTAGTTTTCTTTTTATAAGCAAATACCAACAGGGAATGGAAAAGAAATAATTATTTAAGAAAAAATATATACTAAATATTTTAATTTGCTCTTCTAGGCTTTAATAGTACCTATCTATTTCATGTAGAGATTGAGAAATCAGAAATCAGAAATGAAATAGGTTCTAAGTTACATAGTTTTAGTCATTTAATGATTTTGGAACAAATTAAACATGTTCATCTTTAAGTTTCAGGCAAAGTCATTTATATTTATAAGCCATTAAATAAAAAATAAAATTGAGAGAAACCTAAGCACCTTTAATCCCATCCCCTAGTTTTATAGTCTTTCCTTCTTTCTTTCTGAAATGTTTATTAATTGCAAATCATGCAATTAATGTTTTCACATTATAAGCCAATGGACAATAGATTCAGGGTATAAATGCATATAACCAAGGCAGGGTTTTCCTCTTCTGACCATTTTGACCCTCACTAACTGATTCCAGCAAGTTGTCCTCACACCCTCTACACATTAATCTCATGTTGTTTTTCCTGCACTTGGATTGTCCTGGATTTCTACAAAAATCTCCCCAAAAGGAATCCAAGTGTCTGAATCTCTATCTCTTAGCATCTTTGGCTAAAAAATGATGAATATATAACTGACATGTATTTATTTAATATTTTAGAATGAGTGCCTTTTATGGCATTGGCTTTATTGGCATTTAAGCAGATGCTCTGATTTGGCTCCCAAAATTATTGAATTATTTCAGTTAATTCCTTTCATATATCATTTCCAAACTGAACACTGACAATAGAATAATCATTCTACATGTTTATATAAAAAAGCCAGTAAAAATATTGGACGATTTTCCTTGTAGACAAAGGGGAAAAAGTAAAACTCATTAATCATGTTCTACAGAAAGTCATTATTATAGGTGCTACAATGAATTGCCATAGTGGCAGAGAAATATTTTTAAAAAATTTAAAATACCAATTACGAGATAGTTAAAATCATCTTAAAATGCTATTTGGGATATTTTCAGAGAACTGATATGGGTTTTGTTCAGATAATTAGGCAAATTTTTTTTAGTGGTCAGTCAGGTGAATGGAATATGTCATATGAATGGTATGGCTCATGTTCATGGGTCTCTAATAAGACAGAAAAAAACAGTCTCTTACAAAACCTTATCACATGCATTTTCCCTCCATCTGGAAAGTAGATATTCTGTATAAGTGCCCTTTGCCACTACTCATTGTTAAAATAAGTGGCAAATCATTATATTTATGACTTACAAGTTTTGGAATAAACCACAGTTTTGTCTCTTCTTCCCTAATTAATTACCTTTGCTTAAAATAATTAGTACAATGGTCACAAAAAGGGATGAAAGTTTTTATATCTTGACTACTATTTTTGACATACAGTACAAGTGGTGATAACTTACAAAAGTTTCCCTCTTAAATTTAGTGGTTTTTTTTTCCAAAACATGTATTTTTAAATTACTATTGTGGTAGGCAGAATAATGGCTTTCCCAAAATTTCTAATCCCTGTGAATATATAACCTTATAGCAAAAGCAATTTTGCAGATGTAATTCAATTAAAGGCATTGATATGAGAATAATGTCCTGGATTAACCCAATGTGATCACAGGAGTTCATATCAGTGGGAAGTGCAAGGATAAACTGGAGAAGGAGATAGATAATAGAAGTGGATATTAGAGTGATAAAAGTCCATGCCAAGGAATATAGGTGGCCTCTGGAAGCTTTAAACAAGTAAGGACAGATTCTCAGAGTCTCCAGAAGAAACAAAGTCCTGCCAATTAATTTGAGGTTTGACTTCCAGAACTGTAAGAGAATAAATGGTTGTTCCTCTAAGACATTAAATTTATAATACAGTAATTTGTTACAGCAGCAATAGAGAAGTAACACAACCACATTCAACATTTTAAATGAAAGAATGAATTCTGCAGTCACATGTCTAGGAAAATATTATACAGCTTAATATCTAGGACAGAATAACTAGAGGTATCATAAAACAAAGTGATTTTACCTAGCTTAATTTAATAACTAAATTTGGAACATCTGTATCAATCATACAAATAAGAGTCCAGTATGTACCATTTCCCACCATTTTAAAAAAGAAATAATAGCAAACTAAGACACTGCCCAGTCTTTAAAAGGGAAATTTTCCAATGGTCTTTCTCTTTTTCACCTCTTATAATAAGAAAAGGATTTCCTTTAAAATAAGGGTAAAACTTCTTGATTCATTGGAAAAAGTAAAAGCATTTATATATGACCACTCATTTCTTTAGGATGAATTTAATAGCCTCTCATGAGCAGAGTATATGAATTAACATGCCTTTTCAAAAGGAATTGAAATTGGTAGCCCTTTAAAGAAACTTGCATTCATTACAGAGATAGTAAAACATTATATATCATTTTAAAGGCTGAGATAACAATATTTAAATATGTATGTTAAATCCCTAGCATAAAAGGGATCACAGTCACAAGAGCAGAGAGAATTCAATCCCGAAGTGCTCTGAGTTTACTCAATAAAAAAGACAAGCAATTTTAAAACCTTGAACACTATAGGGATATTTTTCAATGCAGCACTGGAAATGTTATAATGTTGATACAAGTGAACAAAGATGAAATAGTTTGTTGTCATTGGTAAGAGGCATAAAATGTACACTATGAAGAGAAGCAAATATATTTCTCCAAGTGAGTAACAACTAAAATTGCACAGTCAAGTTGGTAATCATGCATAGCACTAATCACAGATACTAGATAGAAAATCAGTAATTTTTGAAGGACTACTACATTTTTCTCTGCCCCACAGAGGAATGAATGTCCTTATGATTCTGGAAAGGAGAGTAATTTCTCTGTCCTATAATGAAAGATATTGTCGATCTTTGAGATCCTTCCTGGAATCAGCATTATAAGGTACCATAGGCAAAGTGCATCTCAATAGAAATTGCATTATTGTACTAAAAAAAAAAATACAGTTTGGAAAAGTAAGTTAGGATAGATTTCACTTTTTGCATTCTTTTGCAAGCATTTATCTATTCATCTGTCCTGAGTACCATAACAATTATTTGCAACCCTGAGAGTGACAAATCAGTTACTGAGAAATCTCTAAATTTTCCATAGATGAGCATAAGTGGGTAATACAGGAGAGTTAATGAAATGTCGTAAGATAATTCTCTACAAACACTTTTACCCACATTATTTCAACTCATTCTCACAACCACCTTCTTAAATATATATTATTAAACATAAACTGAGGCACAAAGAACCTAATCCAAAATCTCATATCTACCAATCAGAATCCAGAGGGAAACCCTTATCACGGGGCTTCAAGACTGGTTTTAAAATTTCAATTTTTACTCATTCTACTAGCAGACTGTTTTGATCTTGTGGGACATAGCTAGTACTGCCAAATTAAAATGCCAAAAATAACTATACAATCCCAAAGTTGCTAACACTTACCGCTGCTAACTCTTGAAGAAAATTAAACAAAAAGAATGAAAATGCTTTGAATATTACAGTGTCGAACATAGGTGCTCAACAGATAGAAAGACACAAGGTCAAAGGCAGAGAATTAGATTCAATAATAAAGACCATTTACACAGGTGAACTGAGAAGAATGCTATATTTTGACATTACAAATAGCTTTGCAGCATGGGTATAAGCCCCACCAATGATGATGATGATGATGATGATGATGATAATGACATTGAAAAATTATAAGCAAAAAATGTTAATTTATGGAAGGACATTTATTAAGTTGGATCTATCCTCTATTATTATTTTGTTGGAAAGTAAAATGGATCAGTTGTGGAAAATTTTGCTATGGGTCAATGCCAAACCTGCCAGGTAATGTTCAGTGATCACAGAGCTTCGAGGAAGAGTAGAAATTGTGACTGGAGTTGAGGGGAGATTAGGTCCATTAGAAATACAGTTTCTTAATCTATTTTGTTTCCATTCATTGTTAGGAGTAGCAGAAAAAGAATGACAAAACCAGTTTGACTCAACTAGTTTTAAAATAAACACCCAATTCTAAAAATACTTAGAGAAGGAGGCTGCCAATTATTTGGGGGGAAAAAAACAGAAAGAAATTAAAAGGATCATTTGATAGGAAAACACTGCAATAATTATCACAATGCATATCATTATCTTTGTTCATTACTAATCACTGCTCATTTTGACTGGTTCAGTTAACTAGCTATTTTCAATCACTACATTTTTTTTCAAATTTAACTAAATATAGTGATATAAATTATAAGTGGTGAGTCAGGGAGAAACTAAATGATTATAGGTTGTGCAACTGTCCTGGTTAGTCTGGACAATGTGGTAAAGTTTTATGAAAAGGAAAGTATGAAACCAAAAGACAATGAACATAAATAGAGTAATATCATTTCTTCTTTTAACTCTCTTGTTTTAACACTAAGTACACAGAGTATACTAGCATCAAGTCAGAAAATGTAAAATTGAAGTTTTCACTAGTAGGGACATCAAATAAAGACCATAAAGTACATATGTCACAGATAACTACTGGTCTACTTCATGTCTACAAATAAAAATAGTTTAAAATGTTTGGTGGCTATGTTATTATACTATTCATCATTAGCATAAAGGTATTACATTAAATGCAATTAATACAAGACATTACAAATCAATAATGGATGTGGCATAGTAGTAAACTACATTTTTCTGATTAAAAAAATAATTTAGGCACTCACCTTGGTCACCACAAATGTAATCTATTCTTCTGCTTCCAAACAGGTTCTGAGGACATTACTCTGATAACAAAAGAGAAGAAGTACATCACGCACACAAAAAGGAAATCACAAACCAATAACCCTGATGAGCATGGATGTAAAAATCCGCAGTCCCAATTACAATTACTTCAAAAAATTAAATATCTAGGAATAGACTTAAAGGGGCAAAAGACCCATACAATCAAAACTGTAAGAAATTATTTAGAAAAAAAAAAAAAAACATGGCTTCCATGGTCGCACAGGGGTTAAAATCTCAGCACAATCAAACGTCTCCTCCTATCTCACCCCCTACTCCCCTCAGCAGTGTATTTCAGTACATCTGCCTGTGCTGCTCTCCACTTTGTCTGTGGTAAATCTCCTCACCCCCCGCATCTCTGGCCTATACCCCAGTTCTGTATGCATAAATAAATGAAAAAAAATCTTTAAAAAAAAAACAGAAGAGACTGTTGTTGCATGGACATCACCATGGGAAAACTGACACTGATAGCAAACTTCCTTTAAAGCATTCAAGGCAGCAGAAGCACAGAGGTGGCAGTTATGCAGCAGTGGTAGCCCGTGGTCTTTGATGGCACCACTCTCAGAGCAACAAATTAGTTTCCCACTATGGAGATGGCAAGCGTAGAAGTCTCTGGGTGATGCTGAGTCTCATGGAGCACAGATGACTTGGTCTTGTCTTACAATGAATTGGAAATCACTAGGATGGTGATAGAAGAGGTTCCCGGCTTAAGTTCCAGGACATTTACCTACTGGAAAATGGCATTGAGAGAGTCCCATAGCTAAGAGTAAGACTTAAGCACCTGGAGATGAGAGATCAGTGCAAATTTCCATGGAGGGGCACTAACGAGATATAGGTTTCATCAACTAGGAGGTGGGTGGGTAGAGATGCCTTAAGGCTGCAATCCAAGGCAGGGAACACAGACTGCAGAGTTGCTGACTCAGTAAGGCTTCCAAAGAAGGGGAAGACAGAAACCATGGAGGCACATACCATGACTATGGGAAACTAATACCGAAGAGTTGGAGTGCTCCACATGGACTAAGTCCCAGGTAACGATAAGAGCAGACCAGAATGCTAGACTGCATTCTCCATTCCCTACCCTTGGGACTGGTGTCAAACTCACGAAGCAAACTGACAGTACACACAATGCTGAATCAATTTTGAAACACATAGAAGGAAGATATAGGCAGTGCCATAAACATGAGTCAGCTCAACAAGAACATTAACATGAACAGAGACATTCAGTCCAGGGTATATAACCTATGGATACCAGCAAAGGCCAAAAGCCTCACTCAAATCAGTTGGGAAAAAAAAAAACAAAAACAACCACAGCACTATCTGCAGAAGAAGTAAAATTAGTTCAACTTTCTTATTATTTCTATAGACATTTATTTAAAAGGGAGACTTCTAGTAGCAACGTGTGTAGACAAAAAAAAAAAAAAAAAAAAAAAAAAGCACATGGTAATTTGAGCCCTCAGGAGAATATGACATGATAAGGTGAGAACAACTCAGAATTCAAGGACAAAGATATGTAATATTATATCTCCCTAACAGATAGAGTTCAAAATTGCTTTAATAATGAAACTAAAAGAGAAAGAAGAGAATGTAGAAAGACAAGCCAAATAACTGAGAATTCAAAAAATCTAATACAACAAAATTCAGAAAAACAAAAGAATGTGTTCAGAAATAAAGTTAATGAAAAGAAGATAGATATTGAATTTTTAAGTAAAAAAAGCAACAAAGAGATTCAGAATGTAAAAAATTCAATAAATGAAATTATAATTCTGTAAAAAACTGAGAAAGTAGAATAGACCAGATGAAGGGTCAAATCAGTGACCTAGAGGATAATAATGCACAAAGAATCCAGGTGGAAGAAGAGAAAGGAGATATTAATTAAAATTAAAAAATGTTTCCATGTCCCAGTTATTGAAATAATGTGGCATTAAACACCTATAGAACATAGAATTTTTTGAGTTGATGGTTTTATGTCCTTTGTATAGATGCCCAAGAGTGCAACTGCTGGGTCATATGGTATGTCCAATTTCCAGTTTATTAAGGTAAATCCAAATAACTTTCCAAAAGAATTGCACAAGTTTTACACTTCCACCAACAGTTAATGCAGTTTCTTTTTCTTCACATCATCTTCAGCACTAGTTATTAGGGGTCTTTGGAATGTATGCTATTCTTATGGATGTGAAATGACATTTCATTGTGGTTTTGACCTGCATCTCCCTTCTTAAAAGTGACGATGAAACATTTTTCCATGTGTCTACTGGCTTTCTAAATATCTCTTTGGTGAACTGTCTATTCAGATTTACGGTCCATTTATTAATTGAGTTGCCTATAAAACTGAGTAAGTTTTGTGTGTCTTGGATATTAACCTTTTGTCAACTAAGTCTTTAATCCATTTTGAATTAATTTTGTGCATGGAGTTAGAAAGTGATCAAATTTCTTTCTTTTGCATGTGGCTGTACAGTTTTTTCAACACCATTTGTTAAAGAGACTCTCCTTTCCCAGTTGTATGGCCATGATTCCTTTACCACGAATTAAGTGTTCTTCTATACAAGATTTACTTCTGGATTTTTGAATCTGTTCCATTGATCCACGTGTCTATTTTTATTCCAATAACATATTTTTGAATTGCTGTCATTTTTATTATAGTTTAAAATCACATAACAATGCCTCCATCTTTCTCCTTTTTCCCCTCAGGATTGCTTTTGCTATTCAAAGTCTTTTGTAGAGTCTACATAAATTTAATTATTTTTAAAATTTATTTGAAGAATATATTGTTATTTTTCTAAAGGTCACATTATATTTATATATCACTTTTGGTATTATAGTCATTTTGATGAGTCTCCCCACCCATGAGAATAAATGTTTCCATATCCTATACTATGATCTATACCCTTTAATACATCCTGTGATGTTTATTGTATAAACCCTTCAAATCCTTGTTTAGTTAATTCTCAGTTATTCAAGTCTACCAAATTACTTTTAAAGGTTAAATATCTTGGGCCTCCCTGGTGGCGCAGTGGTTGAGCGCTGGGTTGCGAAGCTGCCCGCGACCTCTGCGGCCCCGGTTCGATCCCCGGCTCCTCCCCGGCCACCAGAGGAGGGTCCCACATGGCACACAGACCACTTCTGCCGCCCGTTGCTCCCCTCAGCAGTGTACTTCGGTCCTTCTGCCTGTTCTGCTCCCCGCTCTGGCTCTGGTGAATTCTCTCACCCTCCCGCGCTTCTGACTGTACCCAGTGCTTGCATAAACAAAAACAAACAAACAAACAAACAAACAAACAAATAAATAAAACATGCCTCTATTAAAAAATAAATAAATAAAGGTTAAATATCTTAAGTTTTTTAAAAATTTGATCTCTATATAAAAATCATTATTAGAATAAAATAGTGAGTCCATTGCTTGGGAAAAACAAATATATTTCTTAGTCTATATGGAACAAAAAAGATAATGACAAATTAAAATAAAATTTCAGCTTTATTTTGGGTTTAAGATATTTCATTTTAAAGATCTCACAATACTTGACATTCATTTTTAATATAAAAATGTAGTAATTAAGAATAATAATAACAAGCTATCTTCTGTGATTATCTTACTTCATGGAAATAGAAAAGGTTATATTTTACTTAAATTACTTATATTCTGAGAGTTTATTGTTAAATTTTCAAAATGTTTGCAAATTAGTTTTCATCTACCCTGGTAGAAGTATTTAGAGCATGGAAATTGGCAAATTCTATAATCAGAGTTTCCACACTCAAGAGCCAGATGTTAAACATTTATCAACACTTCCATAGCTACATTCATGGAGAAACAGAAAAGAAAGCAAATCACTTCAATATTATATAATTATTTATAAACACACTTATGCTAAGCACAGTGAAAAAATCATTCTCAATATCCATCTGAGATCCACTATAAAATTGAATCAAATTCCATCTCACCCTAAGGTCCCCCACCCAATTATTACACCATATGGAAAGTAGATAATAAGTAAAGGTGAAAAATGCATTATCAGATGTTTTTTCTTTTTTAAGTTGTTTAATGTGATTTCTCTAGAATTTTGAGGTTTCAATGTATGTTTATAATTTTTTAAATTAAGCCATTTTATTACTTATGAAATATGAATAATGAGCTTGGGTAAGAACACCATTTTTGCCAGGATACAGAGAAATTTTATTTTTCATAAAATTTAATCTTGGCATGTCTTCATATCTCAATGAGCAAGAAAAATCAAGCTAACTCCTATGTACTTTTTAAGTACAAAGTTTTGAATGTATAAAACTTTTTCACTAAGTTTCAATATCTCATATATACAAACTTATTAAAAATGAATACCATAGGAACACTATGTTATCTATATAACCATATTGTGCAACCTGGATCACAGAAAGGTTTTTTTTTTTAAGATATATTTATTTATGCATATAAGAATGGGGTACAGACCAGAGGTGCAGGGGTGAGAGGTTTCACCAGAAACAGAGTGGGGAACAGAACAGGTAGATTAATGGAAATACACTGCTGAGGGGAGCAGCAGGGGAGACAGGAGAGGTCTGCTGAGCCATGTGGGTAGCTCCCTGGTCGGCCAGGGATCAAACTTGTGCTGCAGTGGCTGTGGACAGCTTCATGGTGCTGTACTAAACCACCTGCACCACCAGGAGGCCCCAAAAGGTTTTTAATGAAACTCCAAGAACTGGATAAAGGTTAGTGCTTTATTGCTTTATTTCTCTTTCTTTTCATTATGAGATGACCTTGTAATTGTACACAGGTTTGTTAGTTTTATTCAGAGCAAAATAGGCCCATTTTCCTTCACTTATGATTTTATCCAGTAAATTACTTTTCTTTAGGGAGCATATGTGCATATTTATTGCTAAATAACCAGAAGTTAAAACACTAACCAATTAATATGAGGCAGGAATTGTGGATTATCTCAATCAACTCTTATAAAACAACCTACATATAAAAAGTATATCTCTCCCTATTTTAAATGCGAAAAGACAGAGGCTTACCAAGATT